TTTTTTAATAGAAAGTAGACTTTTGAAATCGGGGAAGTCTTTTTTGACATTCTAATTCTTTCTAATTTCTTTTAATTTCAAATACGATGACCATTTTTGAAATTTGCAGCCTCACCTTTTTATTTAGAAAACCAGACATCCTTTAAACAATAATTTTCTCACAGGAAATGTTTTAATCCTGTGGGGCCATCGCTCACACATGATATTGTATCGATTTTATGTGAATTATAAAGAAGCCCTATACATGCAGTCCTTTTACCATAAGATCACAAATTTATGTATTAAATCAAACCATAGATAATACAAGTAAACATAGATAGCTTATATACGCAAAATCATCCAGAATTGTACAGTCCGTGAACTCACACTTTTAGGGGTCAAAGTGTACTTCAATGACAAGCCGGGTTGATTGGTGTTTTAATGGATTTCATGATTATAATATCACTAATGATTTCATTTTTATTTAGCATATTGAATTAAATATAAAATAAAGGTCATATAATTAAGCTCTGAGGTATTTTGAATTTTTCCATACCGGGCATTTAAGAAATTGGGGTATTTAAAAATGTATAGAATACTGCAATTTACACTTTTTACACTAGAATTCAATTAATCAAAAATATATAATAAATTCACGATCCTTTCAATGCATAAGTTTAGGTCTGTTGTGTTCACTGTACAGTGTAGTGTAAATACACCTTAGATTATACAGGGTTATCCACACAGAATGAGACTTCAGAGACGACTGTACTGAATGTATATTGTCTGTTTCCTTATATTAAAGATTCTTGGCAACTGTAAACTTGTTTCTTTCTTTCACTAATTATTAAAAAAGGCAATAAAAGATTAAATGCAAGGCAAAGGAGTTATTTTAACCTTGGATTTTAAAAGTTTCAGGTCGTCTTTAAATTAAGTCTCATCTTTCGTGGACAGCCCTGCAGTACACACTAATTCATATAAACTGCTCTTTTCGGCGAAACCTGCGTAAGAACTCAGGTCTTTAACGTGATATATCATAGCTTCTAAATTTTCCAAACTGCAAGGTGTCCTAAAAAACTGTCGACAACGTCCAAGTTTATTAGAAAATATATATTTTCAGGACCAGTAAGCGTAATTTCAAATGACCCTCCATGAAAAGATGGTAATACCCGAATCACGATGTTATACTAAATCCTTTATCTGTTCAATAATGTGAATGATATTGTCGCTTTTCCAGGTTTAAAGTGTTAATTCTGATAATTCCTTTATTTTTTCCTGCGCGTAGAAATGCGCAAGAAAATAATCCTGTTTAAAAATTATTAACACTGTAATCTAATAAATGATTAATAAGTACTTCAGACAAAGCTTTTAATGGCACCGTTACGAATCAGTAAAAAACTGCAACTTTGTAAATCTAAAACCAGAAACAAAGATGATTTCAAATTCGTCACTTAATTTTCATATTTATGGACACCCTGTGGCAATTCAAGTTTGATATACTACGTATCTCAGCTGTTAAAACAAAAACTTGACTTGTCAAATTATGCAAAGCTGTGTTATGCATTTAATGGCAAAACACTTATTTTATTTTTTCTTTGATTCGTTTTTATAAATCATAACAAATTCATATTTTTATTAAGTATATATAATAATAAACTCTTCTATCATTTCTGTGTTTGAATACAGGATACGGGAGTACAAACAGTATGCAATAAAACAAATTCTTAACTCTAACAGACGAAATCTACGGTTTTCCTGGTATTGCATCACCATGACTAAATAAAAAAGAAGATANACGACATTACATCAATCCAAGTGTATTTGATGTTGTTACCAAGAAAGAAGAAGTCTTATTCGAATTACACAGTTTACAAGTTCTCAATGAAATTTCCGGGTTGCAGAGCCGCCATGAGCCCCGCAAAATGACCTCCTTAGCCTCCTGATACGCATAATCCCCTGCAAACCCCGAAAAATCGTCTCTGTGTCTCTTGCTACGTCTCCAAGCCTCAGCATTTTGATCTCCCGATTGCTGTATTTATGTTTTATTGTTATTAACCAACCAAAAATAAAAAATTATTCCTTCATATCAACAAAAGTTAAGAGAACTCACAAAGTTCAAATATTAATTCATTCGATTGATCCAAACTTGTAAAAGAAGAAATTTAAGTATTTCACAAAAACTTTTTTGTTTTGTGAACTGGAGCTAATATAGTTTAATTCGTACAGGATACAACTATAAAATAATTTAAAATTTCTCTATCTTTATATAAAATAATAAAAATGGAGAATTTATTCACTAGTTCTGGTTAATGATTTTACCCTCAAGTATGTGAAACACAAGTAAATAGAGTTACATTTAAGAAATTCAAAAACATCTTCGTTCTTCGTAATAGCTCTTAAAAAGAGTATATTTCCATTTGCAAAAATGTTGTGCAATTTTTTAGCGCAAAAAAACGGCAATTTGCGCAATCATTTGCATTAGTCATTTTGCGCAATTTTGCTTCAATTCCGCATAGAAAAAATATCACGTTTTGATTAAAATTTACAGTTTGAGCAAATTACACAAAAAAACTTTATTATTGCTGCCCAAATTACAGCTGATGTGGGAGAGTTGATGAATGTCAAAGCCTACTTTTTTTTTGAAAATTTTAGACCGCCGCGTTGAAATTATACAGTCTACAGTGCTGGAAGTGGAAAGGTTAGAATAAACGGTAAAACAGTACGTTAAAAAATTTGGAAAAATAAATCTTTTAAACAATTGATTATTTTATTTTATGACCAAAAAAAGCATGTGGCGCTTGTTTTTTATCAATTTTTTTCCAGAATTTTTCAAGTACAGGGTGTCCCACGAAACATGACAATAGCAAGACGACTTGAAAGTCGTCTTTGGTATTTGAATTTATTTGTGACATTTAGTCTTCTATCTACTTTAACATGTATGATTCTTGAAACAATTATCGCATAATTCTCCTAGCCGTGGCATTTCCAAAAAGTGGACTGCGTTTTTTGTGCTTTCAATATTACTGGAGATATAAAGATATATATATACTTATATGTACGCTATAGCTTACCAAACAGTTGTACCAATTTGACTGAAATTGTTTTTGATGTCGTGAGCGGTGAACAAGATTGCTCGTTTTATGCAAAATTACTATAAATAACTTTGCTACGTCGTAACGCCTCTAGTTCTCATTTTACATTCTTTGTGGGAAACACAGCACACTCAAGTTTTCATATAATGTTTATACTATGATAACCAGAAAACTTTAAAATAGAAAGACGACATTAAAGCGAGACTGAAGTGTATTTTATGTTGTCACAAAACAAATAGTTTCACTAAGTTAATAAATCTCTTATTAAGTGAAATTGGTTTGTTTACACTGCATAATTGGTGTGTTTACACTGCATAATTGGTTTGTTTACACTACATAATTGGTTTGTTTACACTGCATAATTGGTTTGTTTACACTACATAATTGGTTTGTTTACACTGCATAATTGGTTTGTTTACACTGCATAATTGGTGTGTCAATTGGACTAAAGCCATAACTTCGTTCTAAACGCAGGTTTCTAAGGTCATCACTGTAGTTAGGGATGTTAACGTTTTCCAACTTTTGAAAAAACGATCGTTTCGTTGTGAAAACGACGACGAAAAATCGAGAACGAAACGATCCTTTTTAAAAACGATCTTTTTTAGAAGTTAGTTTTTTTATCGTTTTTATACAGCTCGTCGTTTGATCAACGATCGTTAACGACGACCCTTCGTTAAAGATTGTTAACGAAGAGATGAGGAGAGAGGAGACCAACCTGGAGGGCATCGGTACTTATTATTGAGTAGTTTAAAAGAAAATATCAATAAGTTTTAGCTCCCCCACAACTTGTTAACTTCATGTAAGACAACATTCGATAAAGTTGCACATAATTTTTTTTAGAAAGCGACTATAAACTATCGTTTTTCAAAAAACAATCGTATAAGAACGGTCGCTAATATTTTTTATCAAAATGATCTTTTTCAAAAACAATAGTTATTTGTTTTCTAAAAGTTCAAAACGAGTGGGTCGTTTTTAAAAACGATAGTTTTTTCCGAAAACGAAACGATCGTTCTTGAAAACGATCGAAAAACGAAACAAAAAATGATCGCTTCCAAAAAAAAGTTAACAACCCTAACTGTAATATGTTATATATTCTTTGAACTTTGACTAGTAGTGCTCTATGATTAGAGTAATTTTCTTTAAAAAAACAAAAGAAATATATTTTTGTTAAAACTGGATATATATGGAGCGGTAGTTCTAGTTTTTTATTCTTTTAAAATGTATTATCAAAAATTATTGTTTTCTATAGAAATATGACTAGCGGATTTATGCAACAGTGAAACGGAAGGAAATTATAAGAATTTATATATTTCCTAGAAGGAAAAAGACGATATATCTTCAGAGATAATCCAATAATGAACTGGAGGACTTATAAATGCAAATCAGGCATGTTAGAATTTGAATAGAGGGTCCCCTGAAATATCGTCGACAGTCCTTTTGATGTGAAAAATCCAGAGGCTCAGGTGAAACTAAAGGAGGACAGAGGTTGTAACAGACTGCAGACGTGCTTAGATAGATAGACAGATAGATACATAAATAGTAGACATATTAGTCGGTGTCTTACGAGGAATGGGTTGCAGAGCCGCCATGAGCCCCGCAAAATGACCTCCGTAGCCTCCTGATACGCATAATCCCCTGCAAACCCCGAAAAATCGTCTCTGTGTCTCTTGCTACGTCTCCAAGCCTCAGCATTTTGATCTCCCGCTTGCTGTATTTATGTTTTATTGTTATTAACCAAACAAAAATAAAAAAATATCCCTTCATATCAACAAAAGTTAAAAGAAATCACAAAGTTCTTGATCCAAACTTGTAAAAGAAAAAATTTAAGTATTTCACAAAAACTTTTTAGTTTTGTGAACTGGAGCTAATATAGTTTAATTCGCACAAGATACAACTATAAAATAATTTAAAATTTCTCTATCTTTATATAAAATAATAAAAATAATTTTCGAGGGAATCCTCGAGTACCCTGGAAGTAACGTGCACTAAATTTTTTTTTCAAAATTAGATTTTTTTTCAGGTGTTACTATAATATACTAGACTATGAGAACTCAGATGTTTAAGGGTCAAGCTGCGTATTACCCGGTAGAAGAAGGCAGGGTTACTGTGTCTGTAGTTAAAATTCATATTATAGAAAAATCTTTCATCAAAATATAGATTTTTTGATAAATACTTCGGTTATTTATTAAAATTGAATTACGGGGACAAACATGAAATATAAAATATATGTATATATATATATATATATGTATATATAGCCCTGAGGAAAGCAAAGGAAAAGTGGGAGTGAGATGCAAGAAAGCCAGGAGAAGCCGTATACGCAAACTTGACTTGACTTTGACGTATCGAGGGGATATGGACAGAGACGTTTTTAATTTCGTAGAACAGGGTGAACCCCGGGGGAAACTTTTCAAGATATTATTCCAACAAACAGAACTTTTCAGGACTGCATCTCTCCAATTGAAGTAATAGGGAAAAAGGTCAAATTTATGCAAATCCACTTGTACGACTTTAGGACATCGTATCGCCTCTCATTTTTACACCACGTCCGAATATAAAGGAAGACGAACCTTTTTGGTTGCATCTTAAAACTTCAAAATTTTTTATACTAGTGAATCTCTTTGATAAAAGAAGTTCTGATAGATAACATACAAGAATTTAATTAAACGAACAATTTACTAGTTTGGAGTAGCATTACTCAAAAGTAAGAAAGTAGTCCCTAAGCATATAATTATGTAACAATAACAAAATAAACGTTTAGTTTTGAAAGACCGGCGAACTTGCTCTTAAAGAATAAATTACCTGTAATACATATTTATTTTAGCCCATTTATTATAATACAGGAAAAAAGTTGAATTTTAACAATTAAAACAATTCTTTTTTGTTTGAAAAATTTGATAATTTTGAATTATGAATATTACTAACTGGTATGTTACAAGAAATGCACAAAAAACATTAACGCCGCCTAATATAGGGTTTATTAATGTAAAACTTGTAAAAATCGAAAATATGAAAAATTTTTTTTAATAGAAAGTAGACTTTTGAAATCAAAATAAATTAAAGATTTAAGAATATTTTCAAAAATAGAAAACTTCAAAAATGTGCATGAATTTCATGAGTAATAAAATAAGAAAGAATATTCGAATAAAAACGAATTTCTCATCGAAGAAAGCAATCAATAGTTTACATAAAACTACAGTTAAAATGACAATAGAAGGTAGAACAAACTCTTTACAGAAAAATGAAGTAAATTAATGCTTTATTAATTGATCCCAAGAATCCAATGAGACAATGAGTCCCGCGTAAAAACATAAGTTCTTAAATTAAGAAAAAATCCTTAAATTTAACCATTAATTAAAATTTTCAAAAAAAACCTGGCGAGAACCTGAAAACTATGTAATAGAAAGACGACATTACATCAATCTTCAAGTGTATTTGATGTTGTTACCAAGAAAGAAGAAGTCTTATTCGAATTACACAGTTTACAAGTTCTCAATGAAATTTCCTGATTTCAGATCAGTCATTCCCGAAGACTGCATGCTAAAGATTGATGATAAAAAAGTTGGATAGTCGGCATCATTAACGAAACAACGAAGACAACATTATTTCAGAAAGGTTCATGTTCTTACAGTATAATCGAATATTTATAAAACAAAGTGATTAAATAGGTGATTTTTAACGTTAATGACGAACGAACATTTTTTTCATTAAAGAAGTGCCAAATTGGGTAAAGAAGCTTTTATCAGTCTATACGCTGACATAAGAATTTATGCAAATCCAAAAGGATGATTTTTTATTGGTAAAATCAGTCAATATGCTGATATTTTGAATTCATGAAAATCAGTCAATATGCTGATATTTTAAATTCAAATAAATCAGTCAATATGCTGATATTTTGAATTAATAAAATCAGTCAATATGCTGATATTTTGAATTCAAGTAAATCAGTCAATATGCTGATATTTTGAATTAATAAAATCAGTCAATATGCTGATATTTTGAATTAATAAATCAGTCAATATGCTGATATAGAACTCATGCAGATCAGTCAATATGCTGATATTTTGAATTCATGTAAATCAGTCAATATGCTGATATTTTGAATGAATAAAATCAGTCAATATGCTGATATTTTGAATGAATAAAATCAGTCAATATGCTGATATCAGAACTCATTCAAATCAGTCAATATGCTAATATACGATTTTATCTGTTCCTCATATTAGAGTTAGTTCAGATCAGTCAATATGCTGATATTTAAACTTCGTTCACTTAAATTTTACATAAAGATTGTATTCATAGGAAACACACTAGAGCTGAAAACTTATAAATAAACGAAATGAGATAAATCAATCCTTTCTTAAAATGGAGACTAATCCATCCATAAATCCATTAATATTGGATTTAAATAATGAAAAAAATTAAGGGTATTTTATTAGGTTTCAACTAAAATTCTTCTGTAAGACTTTTTTTAGTGACCCTGAGAACAGAATATATGTTTGTGTACAGAGCAGTGTACTGCAGTGCGTGGAAGGAAAAAAACACCAACCCCCTTCTTAATTATAAACTGCACTGGTATACAGAACAAACTGAAAAAATTCCTGGTCTATATATTACATAGATATTTCTTGGATGTAGACTCGTAGAGCTCTGGTTCTACCAGTATGAGTATTCTTGGTTTTTAGTTTCCTTGCTTTCCTCTTCCACGTCATCCATCTCATTGTTCCTCTCCTGCAACAAGGTAAATTTACTTAGACACTGTTAATTGAGTTTTAAGTGACTCTCTATTTATAGAATGGAATGTCCGATTTAAAACGTTAACCTACAAAATCTCCACCTGAGTAACAGTCCTTGGTGGATGAAATCGTGTTTATATCAAAGTAAAGATGCATTCTATTCATTTCCAACGTTGTAGCATAAAACTACAAATCACTTTTGTTGATATAAATGTCTCCAAAATCAAAAGATTTAAATTATTTCACAAAACAAACAACCTATCAAACCTATAAGTTTGTTTTCAGTTTTGCTACCTGTATACCGCCTTCTATCATCCTCAACTCGAAGGCGAGTCTATCCCTCTTAATAGCCATTTGTGCCGAGTTCTCCGCCACACTAAGGCAGCTAATCCGCCGCTGTAACTCCTAAACGTATCTATGTATAATTTAATTTCCCTTCTAATTATTATTAAATAATTAATATAAATTTAATCAATTATGAATTAACCTGCAACTCTTTCTGAATTTTGATATTCTCCACAAACATGATATATATGGAGCGGTAGTTCTAGTTTTTTATTCTTTTAAAATGTATTATCAAAAATTATTGTTTTCTATAGAAATATGACTAGCGGATTTATGCAACAGTGAAACGGAAGGAAATTATAAGAATTTATATATTTCCTAGAAGGAAAAAGACGATATATCTTCAGAGATAATCCAATAATGAACTGGAGGACTTATAAATGCAAATCAGGCATGTTAGAATTTGAATAGAGGGTCCCCTGAAATATCGTCGACAGTCCTTTTGATGTGAAAAATCCAGAGGCTCAGGTGAAACTAAAGGAGGACAGAGGTTGTAACAGACTGCAGACGTGCTTAGATAGATAGACAGATAGATACATAAATAGTAGACATATTAGTCGGTGTCTTACGAGGAATGGGTTGCAGAGCCGCCATGAGCCCCGCAAAATGACCTCCGTAGCCTCCTGATACGCATAATCCCCTGCAAACCCCGAAAAATCGTCTCTGTGTCTCTTGCTACGTCTCCAAGCCTCAGCATTTTGATCTCCCGCTTGCTGTATTTATGTTTTATTGTTATTAACCAAACAAAAATAAAAAAATATCCCTTCATATCAACAAAAGTTAAAATTTAATCAATTATGAATTAACCTGCAACTCTTTCTGAATTCTGTTAGTCTCCACAAACATGCTGATATTTTGGGAGCTTATTCTAGGACCCTGATCCCTAGTTAATATAGAAACATGAATCCCTGGATAGATAAATTATTGCTGGATATTTAGATAAAAAGCTAAATAATGGTCTTAAGCACAAACTAGTTAATTCTTGAACCTGAGTTTTAATTTCTACAGTGTGACCCAAAAAACTGTGAAAAACGACTGTTAGACTTAAATAATACAATGACATACAGCAATTGTACAGTGTATAGCGACCCATAGTGAATAAGTAGTAAAACAATTTGTTATTTTTAACTTAGCATAGCCTGCAGGACATGATACTTTGACGGTGGGTTCATTGTTAATAATAAGAAAAAAATAATAAGAAAAATACAAAAAAGATTGACTAAATGCTGTTTCCCTCTTCCACAATTTTATGACTTCCACTGTATGGAACCCCTTTATTCAAACCTGGGGTTGGGCATAGGAGAGACAGGAAGGATTGGAGGGTTAACAAGGTGCTGCATAGACACAGAATCCATTCCCTAAACAATCAATCAATCAAAGAATCTATAATTCAACCACTCTATCTGTCGGATTTACTTAATCAACGCCCCACTTCCAAACTAACAACTTGACCTACTATAATAAATAATATAAATAATCTTAATACTAAAATACCTATCATCCTATTCCTGATGATAATAATAATGATGATTATAATGATAACGGTAATGTGATATGTAACCTTAGGAATATTATGATAAAAACCATAAACTCTATTTTTTACTATTACTATTACTCCACCAGAGGAGTACTGCAAATAATCCTGACAAACATAAACATAAACATAAACATAAACATAAACATAAACATAAACATGAACATGAACATAAACATAAACATAAACATAAACATAAACATAAACATAAACATAAACATAAACATAAACATAAACATAAACATAAACATAAACATAAACATAAACATAAACATAAACATAAACATAAACATAAACATAAACATAAACATAAACATAAACATAAACATAAACATAAACATAAACATAAACATAAACATAAACATAAACATAAACATACCTCAGGATAATAATCGGTGTAGTAACCGGGATTGTACTCAAACAGCATGTTCTGATCCGTCACCTAGTAATAGATAGATACAGGATATCCATATAAAGTATAAACAAGATATTAAAGTTTTCTATCTACGAAATTTTATATTATACGATTTTACCAGCATGATATTGTCTGGTACAGGAGAGGGAGAGGAGAGAGCTTGCATTATTGAAGAGGTGGATTTAGTTCCAGAACCAGACATATGCCGGGACATTACAGACCTAATCAATTTAAAAATCATTCTTTCTAAAAATAACTTATTTAACACAATTGTCACTCAATAAATAAAAAATCCGCCAATCAATGAATAAATTACCCAACCAACTAAACAGCCCACAAGAAAAAGAACTTACTTAGGTTCTGAATTGAGATGAAGTCCTGAAGTGTTAATGTTACGTCGAGATATTGGTCCGAACCTTGATACGCAGATACCTGCATGATCCGTACTCTTAGATAGTCATCAAATTAACAAAAATTAGCGGACATGTTAAATAAAAATGACCTAGAATATCTGAGAAAAAATCGAATATATGGACATGTTTAGAAGAAAATGGCTTCCATGTCTAAGAAACAAATGGTTGATATGTTCAATGAGAAATGGTCATTTTGTTTAAGAGAAAAATGGCGGACAGCAGATCAAGAGAAATTAATGGTCGCAATCGAGGGAAAAATCGCAAAAATGTTTAATACAAATTACGGAAAACCTTCCGAATTATTAAGCTCCGATAAAAGCTATCACTTAACTATATATTACACACAGACAGACAAGCTAAATATCTGTACACTACAGATTCCAAAATAATTATGTAAGAGTAAACCGGTTCCTTCGGGTAAAGGCTTAACATCGTCTTCATCTTTCTTCTCCCCAATTTTCTTGTCATCTGAACAAAAGAGCGCTTAATTTTACTAATTTTAAACAGAACTGATTCAATTTAGAGCAAAATATCGAAAAAGAAACTAATAAAGTGTCAGTTTACAGTTTCAGAACTCACTGGAGTCGTAGCAGATTGGTTTATACTCAGATCCACAAAATAAATTACTAACTTTTCAGATAGTAATTTCTCTTTAAATTTGCTTAAAGGATGTTCTTATTTAAATAGTTAAACTTGAATATTGGTACCTGGAGTATTTGTATGTACAGCTTGATGAATATTAGAAATGGTAACAAGAGGTTTACTTGTCCAGATCCCGTACAGGCCAGACTACACACAATTTCAAATTTAAGTCATATTTTATATATTACTAGCTGAAGTGGACGGCGTTGCCCGTAATTACAAGAAATCAAATTATGAAAAAAAAAAATTTTTAAAGCCTTTGTTCCCCCTGGGGTTCTCAAATACTAATATATATATATATAATCGAAGAGCTTAATTAACTATTATATAGCTTATTTGCTTAACTGATTAATATTCTGAAAAAAAATTCATTTTGGAATAAAATGCAATAAAAATAAAAAATGCCCTTTTGAGGTTTTTATTTTCAGTATTTAAAATAATTCCCCAAAATAAGTTGTCTACAATTTAAAATTATACAAATTTAATAGAAAATATTCTATTGATTCAACTAGACTTTAATCAGACAGAAATTTGAAAATAGAAGATGAAATTAATTTTTAATTACCATATTAGTGTCAGCCCCGGTAATTCTACAAATCAGACTGGATTCGGTTCCACTGTTACGTCGACTGAGGACAAAGCAAGAGTCGCGAGATGGTAAAAAACTAAACCCAACAAACCAAACTGATCACTAAGTTAATACTTATTAGACAACCTCCAATTTTTTAATCGTTGTTCTTTGCCAAATTAATTAAACTCATTAAAACACAATAAATAAATATACCGTTTTAATGAGTTTGAAGGGCCTGTTAAGGAAAAATGAAAGGGGTTGTAGGATGAAACCTGAGAATCTCAGGCGTTGAATGATACATAAAAAACTTTTATCTGATGTTCCTATCAAGAAATTGATGTAAAACTGTGTCAAATTTATACAAAAATTCATATATATGCAGTTTTGTATAAAAGTATTAGTATTAAACAGATCATATTCAACAAATACGAAGAAACCAATCTGAAAAGGATAATATCCCGCAGGAGTCTGAGAATCTCCGGTTAGCTCCTATTAGAATTATTTAATTTTGATTTTGCATTTTTAATAGATATAATTGATAATATTATTACATATAGCCCGTATTAAGCCACCAGAACTTCAGCCAATGACAGTGCAGTATCGTTGTCATGTGATATAGATGGAAATCACATGACCAGTATACTGCACTGCCATTGGCTGAAGTTCTGGTGACGTAATAAGGACTATACGGATTAACGTAATACTATTATCAATTATATCTATTAGAAATTTAAAATACAAATTAAATAATTATAACAGGAGCAAATCTGAGATTTTCAGGTTTCTATGGGATATAGTCTTTTTCAGATTGGTTTCGTATTTGCTGAATATGATCTACACTTTTATACAAATTTGCATATATATATATGAATTTTCGTATAAATTTGACAATTTCTTATCAATTTCTTGAGAGAGGAACATCAGATAGATCTTATATGTATCGTTCGACGCCTAAGATTCTCAGGTTTCATCATATACCCCCTTTCAATTTTATCTTTACAGTCTCTTTAAAGAAACTGCAAACGTGATTTCCCAACCATTAATAGAGTGTCATGTTCGATTCACAACTTTACTCTTACAAGTTTTTTCTCCTGAGCAAGCATGAATTAGATGTCCCTGTTCTTTAAAAACTAATTATTTTTATTTGTGGTTTCTCTATTGAAACAATGAAGAATTTATTAAAAATTAAAGACTTCTCTATAATTTTTTCCCCCACACAATATTGATCAGATTTAGGTAATTCAAGGGCACTGAAGTTAATCAGGCATGTTCCTCTTTAAATAGAGAGTCAATTAAAATCCCAACGACAGTCCATTTAAGACGACAAATATCAGGTCGTCTTGCTTCCCTTTGAACTCCAGGAATCGCGTCGTTCATTCCAAACTTCTGGTTTGAGGCCTGCTGCAGGGTTATATCTCCAATAGCTTTAGCAGCAGTGGGACCTAAAACATACTGTTGAAACAACAGAACACGTGGAATCAGTGTCCTCTACTTTCTGTCTATTTCTTTAAAAAATGTATTTGTGACTGCTTAATTTCTAAAATGTAACCTAAAAATCTTAAAGAATATATCAGATAAATTAATTATTAATAAAATTATTTTTAGCAACATTTAAGATAAAAAAGAGAGAAAAAGTTGGTAAAACCTAAAACCTATAAACTTTCTAAAATGTAACAATGACTTTAAATATACAGTGTACATTGTACAACGCACGTCGCACACTGCACAGTGCACAGTTTATAGTTTATGTTGAGAGGAATTGAATAATTGAGACAAACTCTGATTTGTAATCCCTATATCGTTACAACCCGGTGTCTTAGACCTTTCAGACTTTGAAATATGTTAGATCAAATAGTCTCAGTTTTAATTATAAAAGGTTTACATCAAGTTGCAAAAATAGCAAAATAATTTGAATTTGTGGTAAAAGCTTAGATTCTTAAAATTAAAATTGAAAAAGATTTTAAGCTAAAACTCACCTACAATATCTCCAAGCTCTGTAATTATCTCCTCCTTTCGGTCCTTCAGTGCTGACAGAGATTTACTCGCTAGATCGGGGCTTATCTCATGGCCGATCCGTCGTATTGGCATATCCTGATCAATCAAATAATCGATTAGAACTGATCCGTTTATTGGCATATCCTGATCAATCAAATAATCGATTAGAACTGATCCTTATTGGCATATCCTGATCAATCAAATAATCGATTAGAACTGATCCATCCTATTGGCATATCCTGATCAATCAAATAATCGATTAGAACTGATCCGTTTATTGGCATATCCTGATCAATCAAATAATCGATTAGAACTGATCCATCCTATTAGCATATCCTGATCAATCAAATAATCGATTAGAACTGATCCGTCCTATTGGCATATCCTGATCAATCAAATAATCGATTAGAACTGATCCGTCCTATTGGCATATCCTGATCAATCAAATAATCGATTAGAGCTGATCCGTCCTATTAGCATATCCTGATCAATCAAATAATCGATTAGAAATGATCCGTCGTATTGGCATATCCCGATCAATCAAATAATCGATAAGAACTGATCCGTCCTATTGGCATATCCTGATCAATCAAATAATCGATTAGAACTGAAGAAGGAGTATATTTCTCTTCGGTTAATTTAAACAGTGTTTAATCAAAACTTCGAATTGTCGTAGGAGGCTGATTTTTTGCATGCAAACTCAGAATTATGTATATTACATGCATTTTTTCGGTTTTGAAAGAATCTGAGCGAAATTGCGCGCGCTTTTTGTAAAAAAATAGGTAATATGGCATGATGAATTCATTTCTGAGGTTAAAATAAATATTCGAGCATTCTGACCGGCGCACTAGTAGCCGGCAGTTACATTATGAAAGAGAATCGTTGTTTCTAGTACCTCAGAATCGACATACTATATGCAAAATATATGACAGGATGACCCCGAAGGTGACAGCTGGCTGCTAGCACGTCGATCAGAGTAGTCTTACAAAAGTTTTTACTAAGAAATGGATTCTTGTGCCCAATTACCTATAAATCGACATGTAAACTATGTGGGAAGATGACCCATAATGGAAATGCTGGTTACTAGCGCGCCTGTCAGAATGTTCCAATATTAAATTTGACCTCGGAAATGAATTTCTCGTGCTAAATTACCTATAAATCGACATACAACAAGTAAATATGTGGGAAGATGACCCATAATGTAGCTGCCGGCTACTAGAACTCCAGTCAGAATGCTCGAATATTTATTTTGACCTCAGAAATGAATTCCTTGTGCCAAATTACCAATAAATAGACGTACAACATGTCAAAAATGTACTAAGATGACCAATAATGTAATGGTTGGCTACTAGTGTGCCGGTCAGAATGCTCCAATGTCTATTTTGACCTCGGAAATGAATTCCTTTTCCCAATTTTGCTATAGTTTGATGTATCTCATGCAGCTGTTATTCTAACTTAGGCCAAACTTAGCACACAAGTATTCAAAGATATGTTCTTTTATTGCGCGCGCGCGCGGACATTTAAGCCTTTGGAGGTGAATTTTTTTAGCGCATATTTGTTTTAAGAGTGTTAGAAAAAATGTTCAAGTGCAATTAATGAAGTTAAAATTGATTTAATGTAAAAAAATCGCATTTTTTTACAAAAAGCGTGCGCGCGCACATTTACTCAAATTCCTTCAAAAATAATTCCGAGTTGGCATGCAAAAAATCAGCCTACTACGACAATTCTAAGTTATGCTTAAACACTGTTTTAAATTTTCCTGAAAGTAATACGTTTTATGCCCCCCCCCCTTTAGTTACAATACAAAAAGTGTCATCAACAGTTTTTTATTACTCTCTCTGATACCCTTTACACTTCATTTAAACAATTTGAAAACCAGAATTTATTAAGCCTGGATCATTAAAGGAATTCTAAATCAACTTCTATGAAATTAGGGACAATGACATCAACAATTATTTTAAATAAAACTAACTTAAAAATTATTTTCAGAAATAGTTTTTTTTTATTTACGTCAGCTCAAATCAAATAAAGGATAATAATGATCATTGATGGCACAAGTTTAAAGGAGATGAATAAAAAGATAGATGATTCATTGATCAACGTATATGCTCTATAAACTTTGTCATAAGACAGTTTCTTAGCTAAATAAGGGAGGACCGGATGGGACTAATGCCCTTTTACTTGTACTCAGCTCTATGGAGCCTTAAATGAGTACTAATTTTTTGCAATTTTCGACAAAGTAAAGGACGACAAAGTAAAGGAGCATATACTGCTAACTATTGTGCATGCATGGACACCGTCCTCCTACACCACCCACTGTGTAGACTCGGTGGCACAACCTTTTGACTGGTGGTAATTTTTGCCACAAATTTGACACTAAACACCGTTTTCGTGAATTTACTGAGAAACTTGTGGCAAATCTCCAGGTTATGACTCACTAGGTTCTGCATCTCGCCGCAAGTAGCGCTGCGTGACGAAATCTTGTGGCAGCCGGATCGGGGACCCGACCCAACCACCTCAAGATTTGAAACCGAGAGCGCTACCACTGAGCCACAGAAGCTAGCTTAAAAAAATAGATTAGTAATCCTCCTAATAATATTAATTTAGCTCAAGTCTGTTAATTATATTAGAAGGATTAAAGGAATTCAAAAAAGAAAGCATAAGCGTGAACAAGGACAAAAAGCCATGACACATTCAAGTGAGGTTTACGAGCAGAACATTATTAATTCTAACCTGGATATTTGCGATCTGTACTTGTTGCTGTACAGGGATCTGTACTTGCTGCTGCATTGGCATCTGTACAGGGTACAGATTAGCATCTTGTAACTGTAGAGCAGGATTCAGCATAGGGGTGTGTGCAGCTACCAATTGCTGACCTTCACATCATTTATCATTTATTAAATTCAACAGTTATTGAATTCATCAGTTATTGAATTTATCATTTATTGAATTCAACATTTATTGAATTCATCATTTATTGAATTTATCATTTATTAAATTCATCATTTATTGAATTCAACAGTTATTGAATTCATCATTTATTGAATTCATCATTTATTAAATTCAAAAGCTATAGAATTTATCATTTATTGAACCATTTCTTGAATTGATCATTTATTGAATTTATTATTTTGAATTGATCATTTATTGAATTGATCATTTATTGAATTGATCATTTATTGTATTTATCATTTATTGAATTTATCATTTATTGAAGTGATCATTATTGGGTATCAGTTGTTTAATTGATCAGTTAAAGAATTGATCAATTGTTAAACGAATCTACCTGTTGCCATATCAATCATTGGAGTACCATTGGCATCCACAAGAGGGGACACCTAATAATTACATTTGCATTAGAAAATTTAAACTTATCATGTTTATACATTTGATTATTTTTAATTCAGACCTCTGTCTATAATATAAGTTCGAATTGCTGATTTAAAATAAGTAAGTAAGTAATTTATTTATGAAATATAACAAAAACATACGAAATTATGTGTCTTCAGAGAAAATATTTTAAACCTCCAAAAATAGAGGTTTCCCCCCAATTCTTAAAAAATATAAAAAAAATAGAAAGGAAAGGAAATAACAAGGAAAGAAAAGTTACATATTTATTGTTTACATTATATTTAATATGAACTGGTGGTGGATTATTAGCATTTTTCGACGATGGACCAACAACATTTAGAAATAAAATTAATAGAATTATTAATTATTTATTATTAATAGATGTTTGAAAAATATTTTAAATAGGCTCAATGGGTTGTGAAAAAGATGTAGGTTCTACGCAAAACGGGCATTTTTAAGGAGTTTTTTTTTCGCGCCGATTTTTGACATCCTTAATGTTTGATTATATCTTTTACTCTTTTAAATCTTCTAAGTTATTTCTTGGTAACATCGTCTTTGCTTTCTTCGATTCTTTTACAAACAAAGCATGTGTTAGAATTAAAACATTTGTTCTGCTGATAAAAATTTCCAATTAAATTCTGCTTAACATTCGAAATAAGAAGTGCCGTTTATATTCATACCATATTTTAGGGAAATATTGAGGAGGAAGTAGTCCAACTTTAATAGATTTTACTCTAGTTTACTCTGTTTCTAAGATTTGCGTTTTTGATATTTTTTGATAGTATGAAATTTTTTTAACCGGTCTCCTTTAAATTCAAATAAAAATTTTACAACATTAAACATTACTAATTTTCTGAATGGGAGTATGTTCAAAGCCAAAAAAGCTTCCGTTGTGTGACTCATTCTAGGTAACCCCATCAATAGCTTTTGTAATGATTCTATCTTATCAATATTTTTGTTTGAAGTTAGCACTAGAAATGTTAAACTTAATTCTAAATAAGAGTGGAAAAAGGAGTAAAAAAGCAATTTCATGACTTCAAAGCTTAAGAAGTATATCTTTTTAAAAAATAATCAAAGTTCAGTTTAGTATCCAGCCATATTTCCGAGAATCTAACTAAATCTTTTATGCGTTCAATTTTTCGTGTAGGTTTTCCTAGTTTAAATAAAACATCGGGACAGTCGTTTTGTGCATTAAGAGAATTTGAAAATAAAATTTCATTAGTTCTCTCAAAGTTAATAGTAAGTTTATTAGACATTTTTCTAATTCTTTATCTATTGTGTCTGCTGAAGTATTCAAGTTTTTACATTTTGATGCCACATTTGTGTCATCGGCATAGACTACACTGAAAAGTTTGTTAGATTGGAAGAAGTCATTTGCATATATAATAAACAGTAAACAGCTTAGACTTGATTCTTGAACAAGACCCATCTCTAATATTTCGACTAACTCTGAGAAGGTACCATTTATATTGACATTTTGCCCCCTGTCGCGTAAGTAAGAGTAAAACCATTGTAATGTGTTGCCCCTGATTCCTGCGTTTTCAAGCTTTTTCAGAATTATCTTGTAATCAATACAGTCGCAAGCTTTAGAAATATCTAGCATGGCAAGTAAAACAGATTCATTATTATATAGTGCGCTGAAAATATAGTTAAAAGTTTAGTAATTGCTTGCATAACATTACGTCCTGGCCAAAAAAAAACCAAATTTATTTGTTTTAAAAAGTTATTATTGTTGAGAAATGAAAACATTCTTTTAAGCAGATTTTTTTCAATATTTTAGAGAATCCGTTGATTAATCCAATTGGACGAAAATTAGACACGTCGCCTTTTTTTATCTTTTTCATAAATAGAAAGGGTTCTGGATATTTTCCAAAAATTAGGTGTCAAGGCTTGAAGTAAGATAAAGCAGGACCTACTTCTGTTGGTATATTTTTAAGCAATTTTCGTTTATATCCTCAGATGTTTTGTTTTTGAGTCTTTCTAATTCTTCCATTATTTCTACTGGATCAGTTGGAAAATAAGCAAAGGAATGCATGGAGGGAGGTGAAAGAAATTCTGAAAAACCTTTATCTATTTTAGGAATAGCTTCTGCTTTAGATTGGCCAATATATGAAAAATAATTATTGAACTCATTAGCAATTATATAACTTGATCTGAGATAATTAAGTTTTCCTTCTTAATGGAATCAATTTTCATTAAACTCTGGTAAGGCTCGTTTCCCATCCCTGTAATGTTTTTTTAATGTTTTTTAATGTTTCACAAATCTTCTTGATTTTCTATTATACATGTTTCTGCAAACAATAAACTTGATCTTATCTTCAGGCTTTTCAGTATGCTAAAAATAGTATATAATGATAGTTTTTGCGCTCTCAATAAAAGTAGTTCATTTGTCATGAATTGGTTTATGGGTACCTTACTTGCATTTTTATTTTTATTTTTATGTCAAGGAAAATGTTTTTTTTAAATTAATGAAAAAAGTTTGATTACATTCTATTGCCGCCATGTCTGCAGTTTATGATAAAAATACATTATTCCATTTTTATTTTTCAAGCACAGTTTTGAAAGATTCCTTTTTAGATTTTGAAATGAATTTTCGTCGTGTTTTAAATCAAGATTAATTGGTAGAAATATTGTATTATGGTCTGAAATCGATTGGATATTTTGGAAATGTTTGTATCTTCTGGGTTATCATTGGTTATAATATTTGTTTGTTTGTTTGGGTATAATATGGTCTAGAAGTGCAAAACTTTGTATATTTACAAATTGCGAGGCCGCGGAGTTTAAAGGGAAAAAAGCCTGAAGATAATATATGCATATTATACTCATTGACAACAATATTGTGTTGCTTAAGATCTATGTTAGTGTCTGAGAAAATATAGGATTTGCAATTGCTGTTATTGCAAATGGCTAAAAAAGATAATAACTCGTTAAAAATGGTTCAAAGTGATTTGATGAATTATTGATACTGAAATATTTGTTAGATCTGTAATAGATCCAATTAAAACTGAAAAGTTTTCAAGTTGTATTTCAAATTGCAATTTACTCAAAAGTGTAAGTATTTTGTCTAACTAATTCAGGTATCAATTTTGGAATACAAGCCTTTTTTACAATATATTGCAACCCCTCCCCTTTTGATGTTTCTCGTGTATTAGTAAAGTTCGAAATATTTGATAAAGAATATGTTAGGTAAAGAGACATCCCATATTCCTTGTAAAACTATCAAGAAATATTTTCAATATTCAAATTTTGATGACAGACTTTGAATGTTTAAATTAAGAACATTTAATCCGCTAAAATTTCTAATGTTTGATACAAAATTGTTTTCACTTTGGTATATGTTTCTTAGCTCAATGTTTGCAAATAAATCGGGACCCATATTTGTTAAATCTTGATAATCATTGTAATTATGAGTATATTGCTCGTTTTTATTAAGGAAACCTAAATAATTTTCACATCTTTAAGATCATCGTGGTCGTGTTTTATTCAATTTGGAGATGATAAAATTGTAATATCTTTGCCGAAATATGCATATAATCCACCAAGAAGGGTTGAAAGGAGATAGGATAGGAAGAGAATAGAATTGTGAAAGCGATGGGGAAAAACTTTGTGGCGTATTGATAAACATGCTCAAATAAAAATAGGTTTCATAGGAAAAATAGACAATTAATCTTTGGGTTGGAAAGAAATCAGGAGAGAAATTGAAAGAAGCACATAATATCTCAAGTTTACATTTTTAGCACAACGTGTAGAGACAAAGAAATCAAGAATTCATGACATAAAAACGACGAAATCTTTCTGCTTTTTACTCAGATAAATTCTTTCTGGGTACTTTTGTTAATCTGACAATTCATTTTAAAAAAGAGAGTGACTTAAACCAACGTCTCCGGTCACATTTTTCCTATACAGCGGGCATAGAATTTTTAATATTTGATGCAGACGAATCAAAAAACAATCATTTAACTCAAATAAAAAACTTAACATTGATGAATACTTTTAACGCCACGTATCATTCTATCTTTTTTATGATAATGCTTTAGAGAATCAATTATAATTTATAACCGACTGAATTTGGAACGAAAACCCCTGCTTATTACTAGTCATTTCAGTGGTCCCGTCGTGACAACTCCTCATTGTGGAAACAAAATTTTCAATATTTAATATACAATACTTAAATACATCTAGTGACAAATGTACATTTTTTGTGGTACCTGAGTTCCTCCAGGTATTCCAGGCATCATCAGAATCTGGTTTGAGTGTCCTTGCTGTACATGCAGGTTTCCACCATGTCCAGGGATGGTCTGTAACTGACCTATTTGGACGTGCTGAATCTGGGCATTCTGTGGTATTTGACCTGCATGCTGCATTTGACCGACATGCTGCATTTGACCGACATGCTGTATTTGACCGGTTTGCTGAATCTGACCAGTCTGCATTTGCGCTGCATGCTGGATTTGTGCAGCATGTTGAATATTGGCAGCATGTTGAATTTGAGCAGCTTGTAATATTTGGCCAGTATTTTGTATCTGACCTTGTATATGACCAATATGTTGCATTTGACCGGCATGGTTTATTTGCCCAGTATTCTGAATCTGACCAGAAGCAACATGCATTTGCCCAGTCGGCATTATTCCTGGCCTGAGCAATATTTGACCCGGTGTCATCTGCATCTGAATTGGTGCCGGGGGCAATTGAATTTGCCCAGTTCCGTTTGGCGGCGGGCAAAGAAACTCCTGATGCATCTGAACAACCTGCCCTGTACCCATAATGACCGGAGGATTCTGGGCTGATGGATGTCGGTCACGAGAACTTTGATGTTCAGTAGCTAGAGGCTGATTGTTGGAATCTACAGAAGGATCCATGTTTTGAGCTGACGACTTCTCTGTTGATGTTCCAGTCGGTTCTAGGTTGGAATGTTGTTCGGATTGGAAGGTAGAAGTATCCCGAGCACTATTTCCATTTATCAGATTAGACACAGGCATGGAAACAACCTGGAATTAGATATTTCAATAAAGAATAGGAAAATCTTTTGAGGAAAAATGTAATAATGGAAATTATTTCATCACGTTTAAGAATTCCACTATTACATTTTTATCCTCATAAGATTAATATTTTATCATATTTGTGAAATTATATTTTTTTAATTCATGTAAAATACGACTATATCACGTTGGAACAATTGACATCATGAAGGAAGTTTTTATATTTCACTTATGCTCTTGTCCTGACAAATACTTTTTTATTTTTCTACAATGTTACAATGGTAAAATGTTGAAAACCCTCTTATAAGTAAAATTGGTTCTTTATTTGTAAATAATGCATTTGGTGTGATTGTTTCCTTAGCTAGTTCGTTTATTAACTAATTTTTAATGCATTTGCTTTTTAAAGTTTATGCTTAATTTAGATTTAGCATATTTAATGTGCCATGAGTTTTTTAGATGGAGAATAGGTAGAGAATAGTAGTGGGTTGTCTCAATCTACTCACGTGAAATCATTTACAGAAGAAATCATTTTCTGGATATTAGATCCTAAATCTTCCGAAAAGAGTAGAGAAAAGCAGGTTATCTAGCAAGAACCAGGTCAAGAAATGAAATGATGAAGATCTTTGTCTTTTATTCATGTATCAAGATTTATTACTTTGTTTTCACTGCTATGGAGTGCTAAGACAACACATAAAGTTTGTGACAGTAATATCTCAATGACTTGTTTCCATTAACTAACATTCAATGTTTTTTTTATTGTGGTACCACTTCAACTCGAGCTATGGTACTTCAAAACCAATTTTAACTGTAGGGTGTGGGGAAAATCGACCCTCATCACCTCTTAATTCTGTCTATTTTGTCCAAATATTACAACAGACTGTGGAATTTTGGAAAAGCTATTTTTGTTCAGTATCCAGTTATAAAGTGAAAAAGCAGTTGATTAAAATTGTTAAAAAAACATGATAACCTTTGCATATTGGAAAAGCTCTGAGCGTTCTATTACAAACATGAAGAGATTTGCAAAATCTTACAAAATTTGGTTTGCAATATAGAAAACTAAAAAATTGTTTGTATGAAGTAGGCAGTCGGCAGTATGCTTTGATGAATCTGACTAATGTAAGGCTTAAAGCATTGTCAAAGCATTGTCCATAATATTTTTCAGAAAATTTGAACGTCCTCTGAATCATTCTTTATGATATATGTTAATTAAACACAGGGGAGGGGGGGGGGGTCCCCCTTTCACTCTTCTGTCAGGATTAAGCTAGGTCAAGATATGAATGGAAATTTATGAATTAAGGTATATCAATATTTCTAAAAATGAAAAGGTAAGTGAGCCTGAAAAGGTAAGTTTGCATGTTTTAATATAAAAAAGGTAAGTGAGCATGATGTTAAAGAGAATAAAAAGGTAAGCTTGCATGTACTAATATAAAAGAAAAAGGTGAGTGTGCATGTTATTCGTACAAAATAATTAAGTTAATATCAATATTGATCTATGTTAAAAAGATCAATATAAGGAGCGTGTAAGAACAGACATTCTTACACGCTATGATCGTGTAATAATTTCCATTCTTACACGGTCTGAGCGTTAACGAATGAAAATTCTTTCCTCCCAGTATAAGAATAAGCAATATGAAACGCTAGGAAGCGAACAATATGTGACAAATTTGCTCCTGAACCGTGTAATATTGGGAAACCTTACACGATAGGTTTACTACTATGGAATCGAACAGATATGATATAATATTCACTAATAATAAAACATACTAAGAACTAGCTAGATTAGCCGGCGCTGTCCTTGACATTTCCAAAATTTATAAAATTAGACTGTTTCACCCGGGGTACCCATGGGCTCCCTAAAATAATTTCAGCCATTGGCAAAGCCGTTTGGCCAGCTATAGCGACGATGTATATAGATGTATAAAATATCTCTTCAAACGAAGAGCTTTCTTATACAGATGAGTATTAAGAAGTATCGAAAATGTCTGTAAGGAACAAAACAACAATTATTTGCAGCAACCTTAAACAAATCCTATTACTCAAACCTACCCTTGGGGTGAGGTCTCTTTGTTCAGCTGTATTGAATCCGTCTTTATTAAGACGACATTCGTCCTCTTCCTCTTCCAGACCTCTCCGATTCATCTCTTCATCCTAGAAAAAACATATATATAGAAACATGTATATATAGAAACGAATATTTAAAACCGTTTCAAGGTGAGAGCCGGTTTTGGTTCGGAGTTTGGAAAGCTGCAGACTGCACAACCCATGGGAGAATTATACAATATACAGAGAACTACAAAGTTGCAATACAAATATTAAGCGTACTTCCAACAGTATTTAGCAACAGGTTTAATCACAGGAGGAAAAGATATTTGCTCTGAGATTAGAAAGTTTAGTGGATCTTCAAGGAATCTTTTTGTTGATTTGTACATTAGTTCTTATTGCGAAAAATTATCTTGCTACTATTACTTCAAGTGAAAACTATAGAGCAATCGCTATGGACAGTTTGAAGTCCTAATAGTAAACAAGTTATGCTCATTCATATTTCATATTTTTATTCAACTACAAAGCACGAGATAATACAAATAAAAAATCACAATTTACTATGTAGTTTGGACCCGCCTAACCAGAGTAGGTTATTTTTCAGTTTAAATATACATTTTAGATGTTTAAATATATATTTCTTCCAAGACAAAATGTTTCATGGGTTTCACCCAATCATCAGTTGGAATAAAACTATCTATATATAAACATTTAAAATATATATTTAAACTGAAAAAAGTTGAAAATACTATATCAGTCTCCACTTGTGTGTCGAGAACTCTTGTAATCCTTGGTTTTCTACAATTAAAGAATATAATATATATATATAACTATTTCGAAGTCTTAAATTGCATATATCCTTATATTTAATCTATTGTAACAGTTATGTGTACGAAGTATTATACAAATAATAAAACAATTTTATTATTATATAAAGTTGTTCATTGTTATACAGGGTATGACCACCATGGGATATCAAAGATGAATTAAATTAATCCATAGGCCAGTGTGAGATGCCTGATCCCTGCTAGATCCTGGAATTCTTTGTTAAAAAAAAATGGCAAAAATCTGAAAAGTATGTTACCTTCAGATTAGGCCGCACTCTAGAACTGTTTCTGTGAAACTCAAGTTCTGTTTGAGTGTGAGCAAAAGTACAGTTATTTCCCCTAAATAAAGATTCACAATTTAATTAAAAACTTACCAAAAGATAAAAGGATTGTTCATGCTACCAATAAAAATTCTGGTTGTTACTTTTTAAGTCTTAAAAATTGTCGTCAACTTTCAACGATCCCAATTTAAAGGGACCGTTCACTTATTTGGGTAATTTCAGGGTAAACTAAACAGCCTATTCGATGTTGATTAGTAATAGTCTTACTTTTGAAAAACAACTGTGGCCGGAGAAAAAGTTGATTTTTCGTTCAGAATTCGAGCGCAAAGGGACGGTCCCTTTCTATAGACACTAATTGATGTTTTTTATAATGATTAATTGATTGTCGTAGAGACGTCGTCTTTGTAAACACATTTTACATGTTTTAATACGAAAAACGTAAATTTCTTGCTAACTCCAATATCAAAAGTTTTAAGATTTTTGTACATAATAACGAACACATAATGACATTAAAATATTATAAATTTAAATTTTATTGGGCTGCTGTTACTGAAAAAAACATCAAATAGTGTCTATAGAGAGGGACCGTCCCTTTCCGCTCAAATTCTAGACGAAAAATCGGCTTTTTCTCCGGCCACAGTTGTCTTTGAAAAGTAAGGCTATTACCAATCAAGAGCGAATAGGCTGTTTAGTTTACCCTGAAATTACTCAAATAAGTAAACGGTCCCTTTAAGGATAAAAACACGCTGGTTGTCAGAACAACAATCATACCATTCTCACATTCAGGCAAATAAACATAAACAATAAACAATAGATGTAATCCCGATTAAAGAATAGGTTGTTAGGAGGAATTTTCAAATAAGTGCACAATCCAATAATTAATGTAAAAAATTGCAAAATGGCGTGAAAACTTAAAAAAATAATATATGTAATTCTTAAAAAGCACATTGCAAGATTAATCTCTACCTAAATCTGTCGATGTAATTTCATGTGACCAATTTATTTAAATAGTGGCAACTCCTAATTACCATGGTACCCGTTAGACCTGTATCATAAAAAAATTTAGGAAGATCTGATCGTTTTGTTTTCTGTCGCACACACTTCTTTTTTGCATGTAACTTTTACAGAAAACGACAATTGAGAATAATCAACTTTAAGATAGAAAAAAGGACTAACATCAATTCTACTCAATCAAAAACTGGTTTTAAGGGTACCGTTGTGAACTTGTGAACTGGGCATGCCAATCTGTAACTGGAGGGTCACTTGAAATAATGTCTCTAGTCTTGGTCGTTTAATTATTAGGGAGGAAAAGCTTAGAGGGGGTATGACTGACCTTGGACAAGAACCATGCTGGGCAAGGTCTCTGCACATACTGGTTTTAAACCTAAATAAATAATAAAATAAATTAACATAGCCATTTTACAAATGATTTCTGAAAGAAAAAGAAATTATTAGAAAAATAATTTCACATATTTCTTTCTTCTTTAAACCAAAAATAGTTTTCATACAGTCCTTATATTTTTCGGCCAAGTAGGAACCCTGGAGAAAAGTGAGTATTCTGAACTCATTAATTTTTCTTCCACTATATACGTTGACATTGATTAAACTGTACGTAACCTTGTTAAATGCCCGTTGTATGTCTCTCCGGTCTTCTTTGCCCCAGTTAGATTACAGAAGCTGATTAGCCCCGATACAACTGCATAAGCTGATTTCAAGGCATCGACAACCTCAGGCCAGGAGGGGACCTAGAAAGACAAATTGAAACAATTCCTGTCTGTCTATCCAAAGGATACAAAATTGGAGCAGAAAATCTACATACATTATGAAAAATATAATAGCACAAATTGTCTTCTGGAACTCATTTGCGACTTATACATTCTTCACATCCTGTCCTTAAATTGTTATGCAGATTGACATATTAAGTATTGACTTAAATGAACCACTTTTTTTTTTACAAAAACCCATTTTCTTTTCGATATTAATCTTGAAATATTTTTGGATTTCTAACCAATAATGATATAATAGCAATAAAAATAATAATAATACTAATAATAATAAAAATAAAAATAATAATAATAATAATAAAAATAATAACAATGACATTAATGATAATAAAAAATAACCAGTCAACTATTATTTCGTAGAAATCTAGCTAGGTCCCCATAAAAATGACTGTACCCTGAAAAAAACTTGTATCTTTCAAAATAAGTAAGACTTCAAATTCTCATTAACATATTGCTGATCAAATAAAAAATCTGGTTTAATGGTGGGAAACAGGAAAAACCCGCTAACCTCTGAATCTGAACTGCCATCTATGTTTGTCAAAGTTTCTAGATGAGGTCTCAAACTTGACAGGCGTCCAGGATCTCCTGTTCTTTGAAGTCCAATCACCAGCTCCTATAAACAGAAAAGGATGGTATTTCCGGAAAGCCAGAGATGTGATATCCCACCATAGCAAAAAAGTCTAGAATTCACAAAATATTAACTTTCAAATTTTTAACAAAAAACATTCGGCATTTTCTAGGAACACAATTGTAAAAGATCAGCTGCGTTGAGTTCAAACTTTACACTAGCATACACTCCCATTTTACGGAAATTCAATCACTTGTCGAGATATGAAAACACCGAGCTCTCTGACTCTGTCCTCAATGAACAATCAATAATTTAAAGGTTAACGTTGTAAATTGTCCAAAGTGTCATTTTGAAAATACGCTTACAGTCTCTTTAAAAACTTAGCAGGTGATTTTTATGCTTCACAGTTGAATATCCCATACATAAGATTGGGGGGCTGGTAAACTTCGTATGTTCAATAAAATAGCTGCAAAATCATAATTTTCTTTAAAAACGTTTGAAAANTTTATGATATTTCTTCAAGCAATTCTAAAAAATTATAAAAATAGAAATAAAAGGAAAAGGAAAGGAATGGATAAGGAAAGTTACATATTTATTGTTTACACTTTCTTTAATATAAATTGTTGGTGAATTGTTAGTATTTTTCGACAATGAACTAACTTTCAGAAATAAAAATTATAGATTTATTTGTAATGTTAAAAAAAAGTAAAACAAACTTTATATAGTATGAAAGAGATTTAGGTTCTTTGAAAGAAGAGAGAGAGCTTTATAAACACCACAACAGGAATGAGTACAATTTTTATGGTCCCTTGAACAATAGTCAATCAGATTATTGAAACTATATTGAAACCCCATTTTTCTTGCGATGTTACTTAAACCATTAGTTACTATGACTACAGTAGAAAATAGGGAAATTTTGCTCAAATTTGAACTGAACTAGATTTACCTTATTTTAGTAACATTTATGGACGTGTTAGATTCCTGACAGATTTTGTAACTCAGTAAATATACTCTAAATGTCACCAGTATATAAAAATATAAATGTATCTTTATCAAACAATGTATTTCAGTTAATAATTTAAAATGTTTAGCTTTTTTCACAAGCTTGTTCAACCATCTTTTCATTACTTAAGAGTCGCTTCCATCTCATTTTGTGTTCTTTAATTTTTTTGTTCATCATTTTGGAGACTGATACTCCTTTTGATGCAGAAACTACTTTGATGTTTAATTCAGATATTTTCTCCCTTAGTTGAGAAACTTCTCGTTCAACGTTGCGTCTTCTACTTTCTTCATGTTCAGCTCTCATTGACAACATTTTAAACCTTTGAGTCAGTGGATAGATTTCATATTGAAGATACTTGGCTTGTATTTTGTAGTTTGTTTTTTGAGAAGGTCCATCTCGGATAATAATTGGTTGAATTTTTTCCTTCATTGTGGACATTCTTTCTTTCTGTAGGGTACTTAACTGTAGTCTTAATTCAGCACATTCTTCCTCCAAGATTGATCCCACCTCTGATTGTTCTTTGTATTCCTGCTCCATTTTAGTAGTCCATCTTTCCAATCTAGCAAAGTATTTTTGTTCTCGTACATGAAGGTTACCCATTTTCTCATTTAAATTAAGGTATTTTTCTTTAGCGGTTTCTTTAGAAACCCTTAATGTTTCCAGTTTTTTAGTTAACCTCTCCAGCATCATAGTTCTCTTTTTGTTTTCTTTTTCCAATAAATGTTGACTAAAGCGCCTCTTTTTTAAAAGTTCCTCTTTTTGCTGTAATGTCTTTATTTTGGACTGAAGAGTTGGATGAGCTGCTTTCCCACTTGGGTTTAATGGGTCAATAAACATATCTAATGCACACTCCCCTGGAATTTCAAAATAATGTTCTGCATTTGGGTCAACATCATTCTCAGACTCATCACTAGATGAATCTTCTGTACAGCTGCTTTCATTTCGAGTTGACCCAAAACCACTTGATTCTTCACTGAGATGTACAGAATAATGGCTTCTAAGAACAGGACTTGGATCTCTGAGCATAAATAGATCATCAATTAGATTGTCATGTCCAAATGAATCTACTTTAGTTGGTTGTTGTAACTGCTTTGATATTTTTGTTCTATGTTTAGACATTGTCTCTTTAAAATGTTCGCTAAATTCCTTACAATGAATAGAGTTAAGGCAATGTTTATTTGTGCCTGTTAATGGTGCTTCTATTGCGTGGAAAGATAAACTGATTGTTTAATAGAAACAGTAACATTGCCTGATTAATATATAAGACACAAACCAAACTATCAGGAGTAGCAAACAATTGGCTTGAGACATGAAACTTTGTAATTAACCAGAACAATTTCATAAGTATAATAAACTTGCAAGAAATTATATTTCTTCCAAAATAATGAGATAAAAAATAATAAAAACATAATAACGGGGATGTGTCATTTATTTATTAAGATGGAAGATTTTTTGAGAAAACCCATTATAGAGAATAAATGTAAATATTTAAAAACTTGTAAGTTCAACTTGTTATTAATTAGCCATTCCAATCCACTCCAATGATTCTGTTTTTCTTTTAAGTAGTCAATGATATATAAAGCTAATATATCCCTCTTAAATTTTATATCCAATATTTCTGAGATTTTATTATTATACATATGATTCTATAGAGCCAACAGCATATTCAGCCAGCAATCTTCATATTCTTTCTTAAAAATTTGTATAAAAAACATAAACTGTAGTGTCTGGCATTATCAATATATTTAGATTGCAAATTTATACACAAATCTTACAAACAATTTAAGTTTAACAGCTCTTTAAAGTTGTAATTATTAAATTAAGTCCTCTAAATATTTGATCGATTTTAGAAAAGCTAAATTAATTGCTAGTAGCTAACATAATCCACGCTACACATTGACATATGCCATTTAAATACTGATATTTGTCCAATTCATTTTATGTCCAAGTTATATTAATTTTACATTTAGTAAATCTTATATAAAGTCAATATGTGCCTTCAATCTCAAAATCTGTTATTTCTGAGCTTTGTATCTTATGATGCTGAATATAGCGAATAGCATATCATTAAGTTATTGTAATATATTCTTTTTAACTAAATGTTTAGCATTTATATTGTAAATATCCAGTTATACTGAAATAAAGTGTTTGAGAAGAAGAAAATTGGAGTGAAAGGGAATATTTGTTTTTCATTTCCCTTGTGAACTCTCTCTATTGGATTATAGATGGTTGGGGGGGGGGGGAGGGTAGGCAGGGGAAATAAGCAAGTCATCTTTCTCATGCCTTCAAAAATGAAAACTTTCCCTAAAAAGTTCTAAAAAGGTTGTTCCTTGACAAAATGCAGAACTGAATTTTAAAGGGCTACACAATTCATTTAGCACAGAAGTGCAAGAAAAAAGTAAATAACATTTTTTAACTAAAATTGTCCAAAGATGTAAATAGAATTTATTCTTAAGGGTAAACTTTTCGATAGCTCTAAAAGGGGAATTATAAGTTCTGTGAGGAGGGACATTGTTTCAATTCCCCACTCCTCCATAGACCCCTAAATTTATTGCTCTACTTTATTATTAGATTAGATCCAATTACACATATCTTAGATCAAAATCACAACTTTGGCAGAAGAAATTTTATGAAAATCTTCACTTGACAAATATATAAAAATGAACAGGAAGCTCAAATTTGAAAAAATAATATTTCAAATCAGATTCCAAAAATTTTCAGAAAAATGCGGACTTAGATCTAAAAAAATATTTTAGCTCAATTTCCACGTTTTTAAACTCTCATTAGATCAGATTACTCTTGGATGAAATTCCTTTTAGATTAAAATGTTCATAGATTAGTTTCCCGAACAGGCTTTTTAATACTTGACAAGATACTAAATCCACAAAACTCACAGGCTACTCAGATGAGATAAGCCAAAAGAACGAGGACAGATTTTCTGAATCATGTCTCTTAAATCATTTATATTATTCTTAATTTTGGAACAACCAATCCCATAGGTCTGTCTTCTCTTTCTGTCTGTCAATCTACAGACTCTGTGTCTGTTTGTCTATTTATCCATCTTTCTTTCCATCTCAGTTGTTAATCCTCCACTTGTGATCTAGTTATCACATTACTAAATGTATGGTATTATTTAAGAATATAACATTTATAAAGTTATGATAGCTATCTCCTTTAGCTTTTCGAAAAAGAAAGAAAAACAAATCAGTGACAAAACTGTAAATATAAATATACATATATTTTTTTCTGCAAATTTTTTTTATTTTAACAATATCAAGCAACACATATAATGTCTATCTTTCTACCAAAAAACAAGTTTGTTTTCTTTTACTTAGAAAATAAATTAACAAATGAATTAAGTCACATTCTTAAATGTACTGAAAAACCAGAAAATTAATTTTTATTAACTTAAAGGCACTTAAAATAAAAATTCACATTAAAATCATATATCTAAGATATACTAATAAAAAATTTTTATATAAATATATAGTCCTAATATTAAGATACAAATAGTACTGTTATTATTTTTACTAGTATTACTGTTTTAACTTAGATTACTGGAGTAGATTTAATTTTGTTTTGATAAAAGGATATATTGTAGGAAGCTTTTTTTTAATGAAGTGTTCATAAAAGAAATTATGAAATTATGACAAGCACTACACCATTCAGGGCCGAGTAACCCAAAAAATGTTGGATAAATTGGTTTAGTTGTTTAGATCCATTGCATGTGAGTGCTTAATGGACTCCAAACTGAAGAAAATATTTGAGCTCAAATAGTTCTATTTTCTAGAACCAAGATACTTCTACTGACTATTTGCATGGAGTTTATCTATAACTTTTTCTTTTACTAGTCTTTTTCATTTCAATTTATGATTTTTTTCTTTGGATTTGAGACTGAAATGCTTGGTGTTTCCGCTGCAATTTTTATGTTCAATTCTGAGATTCTTGCTCTTAATTGAAAAACTTCTCTTTCAACATTGCGTCTTCTGTTTTCTTCCTCTTTTGCTCTCATGGTCAGCATTTCTAATCTTTGTGACAAAGG